GGGCCTGGCCTGTGGCTGCTCGACCTCCTGCCTTCCGCTGCTGGGCTGGACTTCCCTGAGTGAGGGTCTCAGGGCTCCCAGCTGGATGAGAAACAGAGTCCCATTTGTGCTGGGGCATAGAGGGGGATACCAGATGCCCACCCCTCCTGCCACTCCTACCCTGCTGCCGTCGGGAGAGATGGGGTCCGTGTGTTTTCTTGTTGAAACCGGTTAATAATAAAGTTTTCCACTCTGTCCTCTGTGATCGCTCGCTCCTCTTCAGGGGGTGCTCCTTCTAGTCAGTTAGACCTGGGGCAGGGCCCCAGATGGGAGCTTCTGGTGTTCATTTCCCTGCTTCACAAACTTCTTGCTCAGCTGCAAGGGACAGGGAAGTGATCCCTGTCCCCCGGAAACTGAACTGATAGTCCTGCCGGACTTCAGGAACGTGGGCCTTGATTTTTTGTTTATTTGTTTGAGAGAGGTTTTTGCTATAGGGCATGTGTACTCATTGGGTGGACAGAGACAGAATGGGAGAAATCATTCTCCAGGGGGGATGGCCATACCGTAATCCCTTCTCCACTCTTGTCTCGCGATTTTGGGCATGTACACTCACGCTCTCGGCATGAGGTTTTTTGGTTTTTGTTTTTAAGAATTATTTAACTTTATTTTTTTAAGTTTTTTTTTTTTGAGAGGTTTTTGCTATAGGGCATGTGTACTCATTGGGTGGACAGAGACAGAATGGGAGAAATCATTCTCCAGGGGGGATGGCCATACCGTAATCCCTTCTCCCCCATTCTCCTCTCCGGATTTTGGGCATGCATGCACACGTGCCCGGCGTGAGTTTTAAGCCACTGGGTCTGGGACGCGAACTGCGGTTGGCTACGTGGGAGTCCAGTGACATAGCCATTACGCTAATCGCTAGTCCCTTATTTATTTAAGTTTCACCAGAGAGGGACAGGGTGAGAGAGAGGGAATGTGAGAAAGCAAGCCATCAGGTCCGGAACTCGACCCGCAGTCGGTCATGTGGGTGTCCATTGCCCTTAACCACCATGTCACCTGTCAGCCTCCAGTGTGAGTTTTAAGTTGTTAGGTCTGGGACTCAAACCATAGTCAACTATGTGGGAGTCCATCAACATAACCATTATACCATCTGCCAGTCCTGATTTTTTTTTAAAATAATTATTTAATTTTATTTATTATTGGGGCCAGCAGGTGTTAAGTCACTGGCCTCCCATACGGCTGACTGAGGTTCGAGTCCCAGACCTGCTGGCTTGCTTTCTCACTTTCACTTTTTCTCTCTAGTCAAATTTAAAAAATAATAATAACAAAATTCTTTTAAAAAGGAAATTTTATTAATTATTATTTTAATAATAATAGAGAAAGCAAACCGCCAATTTGGGTCTAGAACAGCAGGCAGCTATTTGGGAGTCCAGTACCTTAACCACCGTGCCACCTGCTAACCCCTGGCCTTCGATTTTCTTATTAGAGGAAGGTAGTAATCCGGACAAACTGGATGGACTGATGGGAATTGGGAAACGCAAAGGACTCAAGGTCCTGCCCCAGTTATCAGGCTGCCCTCACCAGAGGACCCAGGGATCCCTCCCGACAGGGCTGGATGCCTCCCTTCTCAGAACTCCTTTACCGAGTGGCCCGATCCCTGCAGGAAAGCCCCGGCTCCTCGCTAAGCTTAGGTGCTTTCTGGATCCGGCCCCAAAGGTGGAAGGGACACCATAGCACCCCGTGCACACCCTCTATTCTCTAGGAAAACTGGCACCAGTAGGAAACAGATGCTCCAGGGCTCCACGGAGCCAGCGAGA